ATGAAGAAGAGCCGACGAAAATGGATGTTGATGAGCCAATAAGTTCCCTACTTCTCATCAGTCCATAAATAGAAGGGTCATTCAGCGGAACCTACACACCAAATCGAGAAAGAAAATAAGGAACAAAAACAACATTCAATTTCTGGAGTGTTAATTTTTTAGTGAGAAAAAAAATAGAGCGTTTGAGTAAATCTTGAGAGTGTGGGAAAAATACATTGGGTTGGGTGTCATTTTTATTACTCCCTGTTTTTAATATTTGAATAGGATTAAGTTCTCACTGGGTCATTATATTTTACATTTCTAATGTAGAAGAGTGAAAAGTTATTGTAATTATCTTGAAAATATAGTGGAATTATTCGGAGGTTGTCTCATGGTTTTTTCCTCAACATTGGAGGTTTTCCACGTTAAATCTTGGTGTCTTTTTTTTCTTGCATATATTATTTATTTGGGATATTCTTAATATGTTTTGTGGTCGCAGTTTAATCTGATCTTCCACATTAGAAAATAATTATTCCTGTTTTATTGCAAGAGATTTCTTTTGTCATTCTTAAGTTGTTGAGATTGAGATTATTGTTAACCATTTCACATTTGTATTTTAATTTATACATTCTCCATTTGCGTATCCGAGCCCCCAACACATTCACAGGTACGAGAAAAGGAAACTAAAGATCCAGAGTTTCAGGCAGGGTATGATGGTATTCTTTTTATTCTTTAAACAAGTGACCCCAAAAGCACTGAACATGGTCGCATCTCTTCTCGAGGGGGAATTTTGTTGTGCCTAATGTGGTGTTTGAAGCTGAAAAACTTGTTTGATTATCCTTGGAGTCTTGCAAAATCGACCTGAAATCAGATCAACCGGTAACATGTCATCGGCTTGAATCCCTTAGCTTAAACAATGTCTAGTTCAGTTCCTGTTCGATTTCGAACATAATCTCCGGCTGCCCTCTATCAAGAAATTGTCTTTAGGGTTGTTCATGGATTTGGATTGGTGTAATCTCAAATTCAATCTCATCTATTCTGATATACTCACCCATCTTGTGTTTGCAATGTAAGGATCTCTATCTTACTTCACTGTGACATGTCCTCTAAATTGCCTTCCCTCAATGATTTGACCCTACGGGATCTCATATTGGAAGACCCGAACGATATACGAATTTTGAGCCTTTCGCTCGAGCGTCTGAACTTTGTTTGTGTTGAAAAGTAGTCACCAAGAAGCCACAAAATTTGAAAATGGAGAACCCACCAATGTTGAAAATGGAGCATTCGCAATTAAGCCACAATTGTTGAAAAATGAAGAAGCCACCCTTTTTGAAATTTGACTTACTCTTGCATCTATAAATAGAGTGCAAATGAACACACCAAAGTCTAAAAAAAAAAGGAAGAGTAAACAAGAAAAAAAGTTCAGATTTTGGATGTATTGTGAGTGGTTTAGAATTTACAATTTTTGTATTGAGTCATGTTATTGAGTAATATGTCAATATAATATATTATTATATTACACAATGTACGGTTGATTGAAACCATATTTAGTTATGTTGAAATTTTAATAACGATCCATTAAAATAGATAAAGATATCATTATACATATAGAGGACCGATGACCGATTGTCAGATATATTATATCTTATAATTAAAAAACTAGCTTATATGATAAAAGTGGTTTGTAAAATTAGCCGATAAACTAGTTGAAATAAGAAATTCAAAGTTACCTAAAGTAGCTTATACGATAAAGCGCAAGTTTTTTTTTAAAAACAAATATTCTATTATACCAAACGAAAATTATTTGAATACATGAAATTTCTAAGATAACTAAATAAGCTATTGCACAATAAATTTTCGTAATATATAATAAATCATTTTATTTTATTGCATTATTGAATTTAAACTTAGTAATTAATAGTATAATTATATTGATTTTATCTAATAGTTAGGGTAAAGTTATTTTTTCCGCACTATATTAGTTCGAATGTTTGACAAACGCTTTCACTTCCGTCGGAACCCAATTTCAATTATTTTAGGGTTTTGCAGAAATGGGTCGACGCCGCGAAACAATTCCGTTGCCGGAGCCCATAATCCATCGCATCCAATTCCTTCTCACCCCCAAAGAAGCTGCTCGAACAACCGTTATCTCAAAATCCTGGCACAGTGCCTGGTTAACTCGCCCGAACCTCGACTTGGACGAGACCGAGTTCAGAGAAACTCGCCGCCCAAACTACAACCGCTACGACTACGATTCTGCCGAAGCGATGAAGGATGGGTTCTCGGAATTCGCCAAGAAGAACATTCAAAGGTACGTAAAATCGAACCTAAGGATCGAGACTTTCAGGCTCTCCCTGAAGCTCGAGCCGCGGACTGAATGGGAAGCATTTAGTCTTTCCTACGAATTGGTTCTGACAGCACTGAATTTGGGTGCCAAACATCTCGATTTGAAGCTCAACGGTTCCCCTGGAAGGAAACCCTTTTTGCCGCATGAAGTGTTGGGAGCTGAAAACCTCGTCGGCTTATGTGTGGAGGGGTACACAATTAACGACCTGGTTCTGGATCAAAAGGTAAGATGTTCGAAGCTCGAATACCTTAGCTTGAAGCATGTGAATATGAACCCCGGTGTGGTCTCAAAAATATTGTCGGCCTGTCCCTTGATTGAAAAATTGTCTCTTACCGAAATTTCCAATTTTAAAGGAGGATGTTTGAAATCCACATTTTATGATGCTCTGATCTGTAGTCATAAGCTGACGTGTCTGGTTCTGTGCAACGTGAAAGCCGTTGCCTTGTTCTTCAGTGATGATTGCTTGTCGTCGAAATTCCCTTCCCTGAAAGATCTAACCCTTGAGTTGTTCTACCTCTATAATCACAATGAAGCTGAAAAGAAATTAAGAGTTTCTATCCACTCGCTTGAGCGTTTACAATATGTTTTACGCCATGGTCGCCAGGTGGCGGTTGAGTTTGATGTTCCATGTATTCGTGAATTTACATTTAAAAATGAATGTTCCGATGTTCCTCAAGTGTTTATTGAAACGACTTCAACCGAATGGGAGTCTCATGTAACCATGAGCCGTTTTTATCCCAATACTTCGACGTTTCTTGGGCTGAGTAAGTTCTTGACACAACTGAGTCAATCCAAACTTTATCTCAGCCTCAAAGTCGACCGTCTGGACGCGGCTGACTACGAGATGGAGTACTTGCAAGGTTTACCCTGCACATTCCAAGTCGAGAATTTGACGATAGAGATCAAATATCTAATGTCTTTAACCAGTTATGCTCTTTTTGATGGCTTGTTTCGGTTATGCCGCCCAAAGTGCATAACTCAACATCTACTAACTCAACATCCACTTTCTGCGGGGAGATTTCGCAATGAGCACGTACTAACCAATGTTTTCCTTTGCAAGATAATCGAGCGAGGAATGAAGGGGCACTATTCGTACCCATCTAATTTTTTTCATGGTCTGCATGATCTCGAGGAGGCTTACATGCAGGCTCCTTCTGACGAGGCTGTTGGTGTGTGGAGACTTTTGACAGGGGAGTTTTGCTCTGATATTCCTGCTTTTGCAAGCCCGGATAGCTATGGGAAGAAAGTTCGATTCTTATTGAAATGGAAGGAGGCTTAGCTTAATGTATGTAAGCATATGTTGTTGATGACTTTGCTTTGTTACCCTTCTGTTGATAATATGATTGTTCATTATTCTTTATGCGTTTCTTAAGTTTGATTTATAATGGTTTCATAAGTTATTTCATTTATAGGACATATAGAATATGATTCAAGACTTGAAGTCATCATATCTTAATGCTATTTTGGGATTTGGCTCTTAAGATCTAATGTATATAATTCCTAAATGAATGTCAAATCAATAAATGATTTTTGGATGTTAAATACTATTGGATTAGTTGCTTGCATTGCATTGCGCGATGAATTTTGGTATTCAAAGTGTACTTATTTTATGATATTGACTGCTCAACTGAAGGTAATTGTTTCCTAAAAGAATATTGCTTTCATTTTCCCGTAAGGTCCCGCATGACAAACCCACAACGCGACACCACAGCTGCCTCCATTGTGTCCGTCACTCCATCTCTGTAAAGGCTCTCATCAATAAATTACTCGATTTTTTTTTTTCTTTTGTTAACCTGGATCCGAGTTTACAGCCTCCGTCTCTGTTAAGTGTCAAGCCGTTTAAAGACTTGGTTTTGTATTGGTTTATTAATAGTTTAAGGCTGCTCTTCTTAGTAGTGGTTCTGTGATGTGTATTTAAATTTCAATTTTGGCATGCCTGAGTAGATAGGAAAGTTCATCAGTTGGTCTGGTTTGGCATTTGACATTCAGTGCATACTTACATAGGATGGGGTGGGGCGGGTCGACCTGCCCTGGAGCGAGCCAGGTCCGTAACTACTCAGCCTGACTTGGCTCATTGCCCTTCCTACTTGTAACATAAAATTAACTGTTTAGTGCATTTCTAATGTCGCTCTAGTATGGAGTTGTGCCAAAAATTTGCTCAAATGGTATTATACAATTTTGCACTAAAGTGGAGATGTGTAGTACAATTTTCTCTCAATTTTTTTATGTACTTTTTTATTGGTTTTATTTCTAGACGTATTATTTGACAAAAATGCACAAATAATTTTATTGATTTTGCGGTTGATGGTCCTGTGTGTA